GCAAAATATTTATTTTTTTCAAATATTTTTTTATGGGCTTCTAAGGGGTAACTCGTGAAAGTAGATACCTTTGGACAAAAATTTTGTCCGTTTTGCTCTATCTCGCACCGTTTGGGTGCTAGGGAGCATTTCTTGGCGAAATTGAGGTGAAAACGACAAAGTGGTCTATTAAATCGTAAAATATAACTCGTCTGGGGTGTCAGCGCCGCAGGCCTAGCTATATGTGCGCCAGGCGCGTCGCAGCGTAACAGTGTTTCGTGATATATCGCGAAGCCTGTTACGCGAGACGTGGTCTGGCGTACATATAGCTAGTTACTTTAAAATTAGGGAAATGAAACTTCTGCTGTTCGGTAACGGTTTTCATTAAAAGTTCGAATTTTGACAGATTGTAATGTAAAAATCAACGTTTTAGAGATACTAGATGATCTAGGGACCCTTATAAGCCCAAAAAAGAGTGTGGTTCGACCCGTAATGTGTGGTTGAAGAATTACTCCCTTTACAATTCAGTGACATGGAGCCTTTTTTACGATTTAATAGACCATTTTGTCTTTTTCACGTTGTTTTCGCCGAGAAGTTCCCCATAGCGCCAAACCGGTACAAGATAGAGCAAAACGGACGAAATTTTCGTCTTGAGGGTTCTACTTACACAAGTAACCACATAGAAACACATCAAAAAATGTTTGAAAAACAATTATTTTGCAGCCTGTGGTTTTTTTTTTTTTTAAAAAGTCAATTTTTAAACTAGAATGCTCATCGTCGAACTCGATCTGTCTTTATATGATACAAAACGACCCTGAAATTCCCAGATCGCTCTCTCAATTCTTTCTCGAGTTATCGTGCGGACAAACAGACTGACAAACAAAGCAGAATGCAACTTTTCCGGTCAGTAAAGTTATGGGCTTCGCTAATCGCCCAGAGATTTATGGATGCAATTAAGCACATAGTCACAGAGACATGATATTCTTGGATCACTGCTGGAGCGGAAATTATCATCAGCAGGCTTCCTTCAGCAAGTTATCGGTTTAAGGCTATGTCATAAAGGCTGCAGATTTGGTTTGCCTCAGAGCCCTGCACGGAGCGAGCATCGGATGCCTACATGGCGTCGAAAGCGGTTGTGGGAGCGAGAAGCTCGCGCCGGGCCATAGCTCCCTCTCACTCCGATTCGCTTTCGCACGCCATGTAGGCATCCGATGCTCGCTCGGTGCAGGGCTCTGGTTTGCCTTCCCTGCCTTTAAAGTGCAAGACGCAAAAATATGATTCACTCAAAGCTAATCCCACTGTATTAAATATGTGTTTCCAGGAAAACAGCATCTGGAAACGACCTTCTCGCATCTATCTTTACCATAGCGCTTGGAAGCGACGCCAATCTCGATTTCCTGGAAAAACTAGCAATCAACAACGGTGGCAAAGCTCGACAAGTTTACGAAGCCTCCGACGCTTCACTTCAACTGCAAGATTTCTATCAGGCCATTGCTTCGCCTCTTCTTAAAAATGTTTCCGTAATATTCAACTACCAGCAGGTTAGTCACCCATACCTGCACGGTAAAACCGTGCCCTGGGATGCCCAAGAGAATTCGTTCCCCAGGGGTTCCCTGGTATTCCCAGGAGACCTACTGGGAAACCCACGACATCTTCCTGGGGAACCCAGGACGTCTCCTGGGTTTCCCAGACGTTCCCTGGGACTCTTCAAACCCCCCCGGGAAATTAGGAAAACTCCTCGAAATCCCAGGGCCTGTTTTTACCGTGTGTTTCGCCCATAGTATAGCATGTTTACTTTTTTATGTTAATTTTTATATTAATTTTGTGGAAAAGAGACCTGTGGTTTCTGTCGTCGCAACGTGCACAGTTAGCACCCGCACGAACATATCTTAGTAAGCCTAACCAGTTTATGTAAAATTCTTTATTCAGGCGGAGGAGCCCAGCCTCACGCAGACGGACTTCCGCACGTACTTCTGGGGCTCAGAACTTGTTGTCGCCGGCCGTCTTCTGCCAGGCGAGAACCAGCTGAGTGGAGTCGTCACTGCTCTCGCAGCTGGCGGCCAGGTTGTCAGCTATGCCATCCAGGTGAATGCGCCGTTAATAGTGTTGTAGGATATCAGAGCGACTCTTAGATCTAGCGTTTCTAGATTGTACTTTGTAAAATAACTTTTGTTTATTTTTCTTACTTGTAAGAAAATTTAAATTATTAGAAAAATAGGTTGTTTCTTACACTTTAATTCCGTGTGGATGATTTTTAGAACGGAAAACTTTTATAAGGATTTTTATTGAACTCTCATGTACATTTTCTTTCGGTTCTAATTTCCTATACTTTCCACACTTGAAATATTTACGCACCGGATCGATATCCCCCTGTGAAAGTATTATAAATTATAAACTCCATCTCAATTTAATTAAATCGACATGGAGATTCAGAATTTGTCCAACTGCTTGTTAGCATCGTGCCATGTGTATTTCCGCTGAAAACGCAAAATATGCAGTAAAACTTGCGAAACATTTAACTAAAACGTTCTGTCCTATGGTATCATTTCACCGCAGAAAGTTAAAAAATATCGATTATGGAAATGAGAGAGATCTTGGTGAAAAATCACTAATGCATACTGGCCAAGACTCCATAGCAAACTTCACTGTACAATTTCTCAGATCCGCACTGTAAATTTATTCCAAACCAAATTTCAAACATAGTTGAAACGAGATTTAATTTGGGAAAAACAAATCCATATGGAAATAATTAGCAATTACACTGGGAATTTAAAGCTGGGCCTTTTATTTTTCATCAAGGTTTATGAAATCTTTATAATAGGCAGGTATTGTACTAGGTAGATGTACGCCAGACCACGTCTCGCGTAACAGGCTTCGCGATATCTCACGAGAAACTGTTACGCTGCGACGCGCCTGGCATACATCTACCTAGGCCTGCGGCGCTGACACCCGAGTCGGGTAGTGCAACAGTGTACACAAAGATACGGGCCTCCGGCCCGTCAACGGCCCGTCAATTTGACTAAGCATGCAGGGTTGTACATTTTTTCGCTTATTTTCGTCAAAAACACCCTCTAGCGCCTCAACGGTTAGGGATAGAGCCAAACGGACGAAATTTTCGCCCAAAGGGCTCTACTTTGATGAGTTACCCCTTAGAAAACATTAAAAAAATATTTCTAAAAAACGTCATTTGGGGGACCTGTGGTTTTCGATTTTTTTTTAAATTCAATTTTTGAGCTAGAATGCTCTTCTTCGAACTTGATCTGTCTTTTTATGATACAAAACGACCCTGAAAATCCCAGGTCGCTAGCTCAATTCGTTCTCGAGTTATCGTGCGTACAGACAAACACACACACAGACAGACAGACAGACAAACAGACGCGAAACTTTTTGATCATCACTGGAGTAATAGGCTTCGCTAATCGCTCAGCCAATCAGGAGGTACAGTTTTTGTATTGTTTCGATGTGTCCTGGTGCTCATCTTCTTTAAACATATATAAATTAGTCCGTACTACGTTACAAGTTGTACCTTGGTTAGGCACATCTGTTTCACTTTGTATGTATAACGTAGACGCAAATATGTGTCTGATCTAGAGCGTAAGAACACAGCGCGACTTCACCGTAATCAGAGTGTGATACTGACTGCACGTTGTCTGTGATGCGGAAAATTACACGATGTTGTGATGGTCATCGCAGAGAAAGAACATCATTAAATTTATTGCTTGTATTTGTGATGACCATTACTTATTTGAGCGAAAAAGGAGCCTTCGTTTGGTCCAACGGAGTCTGCTTACGCTCGCTAATGACTGACAAACAATTTAAAAAATATATTATATTTGTGCTAGTCACCCGTCACCCTCTAGGCCCCCTAATGAGCTAGAGAGCTGGATTTTTATCTAGTACAGGCTTCCGCGATGAAGCCGCCCAGGAAATTTCAGATACCTGGCACAAGCACTTCCCATGTTAATAGCTATATGTACGCCAGACCACGTCTCGCGTAACAGGCTTCGCGATATCTCACGAAACACTGTTACGCTGCGACGCGCCTGGCGCACATATAGGTAGGCCTGACACCCGAGACGAGTTAAGGAGAGGATATAGGGCAACAGGGTCTTCCGGGCCCAAAATTAGACATACTCGAACCATTTGTCGCGGTCTTATTGGCTGAGCGATTAGCGAAGCCCATTACTCCACTGACCGGAAAAGTTTCATTCTGTTTGTCTGTCTGT